AAAAAAAAAAAAAAAAAAAGATACCTGTTCATATAATGTCTGGGATATGCTTCAAAATAACGGGTGGGGGAAAGAGGGGTACAGAGGAAATAAGACTGGCCATGCATGGGAGTGGAGAGTGGGGACTGAAGCGAATGAGCCAAGTGAAGTCGGGCAAACTCCAAGGGAGCCAGGGAAGTGGAGGAAGGGAGGGAAGGACAGAGGACCTAGAGGAAGAGAGGCTGAGAAATCAGGAGGGGAGAGGAGTTCTTACTGTCTGCTATCCGCTATCTGCTGCTTCTGACCCTGAGGCCACTCAGAGAGTCATAGACTTCCAGATTGTGGGTACTGATGAGGACCCCAGGGGGCTAGGAAGAAAGCAGCTGGTAACATCACACAGGGCCAGAGTCAGCCCAGGCCCTTTCTAAAACATGATGTAATAAGAAAGCAGACAGAGACCACGGCTTTGGTGTTAGTCAGTCCAGTTCAAAACCCGCTACTAGAACCATGACCTGAGTCCTCCACGGCCAATCTGCGCCGCTGTGGCAGTGAACCCACTGGGAGGCAGGGGTAGGGGTTCAAGGTGGCTCTGCTGTGTGATCCTCCCTTCCTTAGCAGTAGTGGGGGCAGAAAGGCGAATCTGGTCTCCATCCTACTTCCAGAGAAAGGGCAGCACAATTACAATGTTTAGAGGAAGGAACGTGCTGGGCCCAGTACATGGGAGGCCACCCTGGAGCCAGCTAGAAAGGAAGAGAAGGTGGCCCCTGCGGCTCTCACCTGTGCCGCCCGAGAGAAGGTACCCTCAGTCTCCTGCGCCCGCTCTCCGTGGCCTTGCCGCCTCTGGTCTCTATCAGCCTGGGAGCTGCTGGCCTCGGGCTGCCCTATCCGCACGTGCTCACTGGCTGATACCAGGACCTTCTCGTACTCCCGAGGCCTGCTGGGCTCCACCCCTTTGGCGATGGTGATGGTTCTCTGGAATAAGTGTGGATCTCGCGTGACCTCCTCCTGCCAGGAACCTTGTGTGGCATCTTGCAGGTATGAGACAAAGGAGCCTTCCCTGTCCCAGTCCTGCAGTCTGGGGTCCATGAGAGGTGGCAGGTTGCCGGGGAGAGAGAAAGGACATGTGGTCATCAGTCAGTCTCAGCCTTCCTGGATTCCAGAGCCCTGGCAATTCCTGTAACCCAACCCAACCCAAAGGATGCATGAGCGTTGGCCCAGAAGGGCCCGCAAAGCCCGTCCATGCTGTCCAGGTCCTTGTGGGTGAAGAGCTGCCCCTCCTCTGGGCCCCGGGGAAAACTCCAGGACACCCTGGAACTTCCACACCATCATCCTGCACCCTCAGACTCTGCCACCTGCCCGCCCTCCAGGCTGTCCACACTCAGCAGATCACCCTGTCCCCTAGAAACACATACTTCCTTGGCTGTCGAACACCACATTGGCCTAGTGTTCCCTGCTCCCTGTGGTCACTCCTTCTTCCTGTCCTCTGCTGGTTCTTCCTAACTTCTCGGACTCCTGAATATTGGGGTGCTCCAGGCTCAGTGCTCAGATCTCACTGCTTGCCACATCCACTTCCTGAGTGAGTTTCTTTACCTACGGCTTCAAACCTCATCTGTACACTCAGCCTGCCCAGATTTGTGGTTCCAGCTTGGGTCTCTTCCTTAACTCCAGATGTGCATATTCCACATCTCTACTTCTTTTTTTTTTTTTTTAGACACAGAGTCTCACTCTGTTGCCCTGGCTAGAGTGCAGTGACACCATCAAAGCTCACTGCAGTCTCTAACTCCTGGATTCAAGCAATCCTCCCACTTCAGCTTCCCGAGTAACTAGGACTACAGGTATGTGCCATCACAGCTGGCTAACTAAAAAAACTTTTCTTTTGTAGAGGTGGAGTCTTACTATGTTGCCCAGGCTAGTCTTGAACTCCTGGGCTTAAGCAATCCTCCCACCTCAGCCTCCCAATGTGCTGGGATTGTAAATGTGGGCCACAATGCTGGGCCCACATCTTCACTTTGGGTCTTTAATCGGCATCTCCAGGACACATGATGAAATCCACACTCTGGATCTTCTTCTTTAGCTTGT